GACGCTTTTCATTTTCCTGGCGCAATCGTTGAGTTTCTTGTACTAAAACTTCACGCAATGGTTGAAAATATTCAAGAATAGCATCTGCCGATACTTCAGTCTTGCCCGTCATAATTTTTAGTGCTTCTGACCAATGTTTGCTTGAGCCAAGCTTAAGTCCATCACTAAATTGAAATAAATCATAAATGAAACAATTTCAGAGGGATTCAAATCTCACTAAAGTGTCTTACGATAATCGCTTTCCAGCTTCCTTGGATTTGTAGAAGTCACATGCATACAATGGTACGTTTGGATTTTTGGGATCATATTGACCAGCTTCAATACAAAGCGCCTTGTAAAATGAGAATTCCAATATGTGTGATATGAAGTACGAGATGTATTGCGAATCGGCAGGTACGTGGAACTTTGCACCAGGATCAAAAGCATTTTCACTTCGTTCAACTGGCGGTGTTACTTTTTGGTATTGTTTTCGTAACTTCCACCAATGTGAGTTCCAATTGTTAACGGAGACTTTACCGCTGAATGCATCCCAACGCCATTTATCAATTAACAAACCGAATGGAAGGAAAGCCACTCGCCCCAATGCTAGAAAAACATACATACGAAATCCAATTTAACCGGTGTTAAGGCAGTTGTTTTCAATTGCTTTAATGAATGTAACTTTCTTTTTAAAAACTCATCGCTATCTTCCTACATACCTTCCATATACAAAGCGTTTATGTCATTCTCCTTGGAGGTAGTATATTCGTCGAGCAAACCAATCTTCACCAAATGCCTTGGATTCGCGACCGACAACGCAATTGTATCTCCGACGGCCTCATGAAATCCGGGATTCGCTCCCGCTCGGAAAACAGTCGGTTGATCTTTGTATTGAATGAAATACTGAATGTGGCCTTTGAAAGAAAATGTTTGTTGAATATATTGATGATGGTTCTTTGCATTTCTGAGAAATGAATTCCCAATTTTTGTTGAGGATTTTCGCTCAATCTTCATCCATTGAAATTAAATAAAAATACAGGTATCTCTACAAACCCATTTCGTGATGAATAACAATTAAATCTTCTTGATTGATGTTCGTGCACATTTTGATACGAAAATCTTTGCCGTCGTAGAAATCCCAAGCAGATGCGTGACATTGAATGGTTCTGTTGTTCGGTTTGGTAATTACTGATTTGCCGGTGTAGCTCATTTTATTCGATGGTAAGCCCATGCTCATGTAGAAATCATTTGATGTTTCGAACATTTTGAATGCATCATATTTGAGTTCCTTCATTTTCTCTGTGACATCGATTATTACTCCACCCTTGAACGGCTTAGTTTCTTCATATAAATTTTGCCAACTTTGTGCCCACATGTTGCCAAGCAAATGTGCTGGTATGTTTTCATCATTGAGATCAATTTTATCACCTGGCGATCGAAATTATTTGAATATGACAACTAAGAACTCTGACTAAGGATTATTGACGCTACTGAAATGGTGCTAAAAGTATTAATTAGAGAGATATTTACCATAAATTGCAACTAATTTATGTCGCATGTAATTGTGTAGTTCATCGTACAGTGGTTTTACTTTCAGCCACAATGCATCTACATGCTCTTCGAACTGTGGATCTTCGAATGCATCTTTCCAGTATTCGGCAGCATTCTTGAAACCGTTTCCTTTACCGACTTCATTCATTAGACCAACGTAGTCTTGATAGCTAGCTCTCATTTTAGGTCCGGTTGCATCATGCCATTTGACCCACAAATACTTTAATTCATCGTAATCTCTTGATTCGGCAAAACGTGCAGTTATATGCGGATCCAATGTTAAGCGATTTGGATCGTCATCAGCGCACGTTTGGACTGTGTACGGACAAACCGTTGCCGAATTATAAACTGTCGTCATATCAGTAATTGTATTCGTCAACTGAATCGAAAATCAGATGAAATCATTATTTGAACTATCGGCGAAAAAGATGTTTGAAGAAAAAAAAAATACACATACGAGATCCAATTTAGCTGGTGACAAGGCAGCTGTTCCCAATTGCTTTAAGAAATGCAACTGTCTTTTTATAGACTCATCATTGAAGCTAGATTCTTGCGCATCTTTCCAGTATTTGTCGTAATATTCACGGATAAACTTTGCACTTTCACCTACCTCTTTGGTCTATACATCATTGTTCACAAGGGTTTAGAAATACAATATCGATTTAATTGAAAGTAGAAACAATCCGTATTTTGGATCGATGATTCTCTCACTCTGTTAATACCCATATAGATTTGGTATTTCAGCGTGCGAACCAAACGATTAAGGTTGGAAATATGACATGCTATCTCACCAGTTTTTCTTCCTTTTCTTTGTTTCCTACATCGGTGGCAACATCCCAACTGGCCAATTCGACACGGTTAAACACTACCGATGCCTTTGTATTGTATTCATTTAAAATTTTGGTCATATCAGCTTCAGAGATGGTCGAGCCATCATCAATCTTCGGAGAGGCTTCAATGGATGGGGGAGATAGCGTGAAAATGACTGAAAACAGCAAACACC